AGAGTTTAAGTAAAATTTAAGAAATGGAATTTGACTATACATTTGAAAATTATTTTTTCTGGGAACACTTATCCGTAACTATCCCTAAAAAATTGAGTCCCATTTAAAGTCACACTCTATATGACACATCGAAAAAAAACTATGATCATCTTCATACACCAATATTCTATTCTAAATGTCGAAATATAAAAGATAACCATTTAAGATACTGCACATTGCTTGATACTTGTAGATATGTATACAACAGTATCGATATATCCACATAAATATAAAGTACCTAGTATACAATAAATGTTGTCTTTTCACAAATATTATTTCTGTTTTTATGGTACGTCCCTTAGCAAAATTTTTCAAGAGCAATAATTTTTCCAATTATTATTATTACTCTTTTGTGCTGCAATCTCAAAATTCACATTTTCTAGCAGATCCAGAGATTTTGGTATTTCTTTACAGTAGATCCAATATTTGGATTTTTTTTTACTTAGTTGTGAATCTATTTAAATATGAGTCGACCATAGGTACAGAGCTATACTATTACCTACAGGAGTGATACCTTAAGTATTTTATTTAAAGTCAACCAAATTTGGTACTAACGCTTCAACTGATTTAAAAAATATCTAATAAAGCAAGTCATTTTCAAACTGAAATACATGTCCTCTAAAGAGACATAACTCTATAAAGCTTGTATTAATTTTGATCAAAGAATATTCCTAGGCGAAAACACCATGTATAAATGCTTAAATGTACAAACGTTTACCTTAAGGCGGGTATCCCATTGTGGCAATGCTCCATAACGTAACAACAAACATGTTACGGCCTGTTGCAAAAGGTGACACAGTTCGCTGCGAAAGTATGTGTGGTTTTGGTCGTATCATTCATTCCGTAACGTAACAATATAAGGTTACGTGACGACACAGGAACATAAACTCGCAGTATGAACCTGACTGCAATAATGGATTCGTCACTGCAATTGCAGTTAGCAGCAGCGTCATATACTTTTATTCATCATACAATTTTGAAGAATATGAAACGGAAATCTCCGGAAATCTTTTCTTTACTCCACTTCATGGCACAAACACAGAAAAACACACTCTTCCTAGTCACTGCAGAAAACAGACTGACCCCAGACCATATACAAAAGACTGACGAAACAAAAAATAAGACAAAATCACATGTGCAACAGGCAACGTTACGGCCAAAAGGGTAACCCCGTCTCAACATGTGACAGAAAGTACTGTTGCATTCCTTTGATGCGACGACTAAAAACCGACAACTGATGGTTCGTCCCGGATTAGTTACGCGTGTGAAATTTGTTACACGTACCATGCAACAATTTTCCGTCTCCACTAGTAGTTGTGACGTAGCATGTTCGGTGTTACGTTACGGGGTATTTGACACAAATGGATACCCGCCTTTACGCGTGTTAAATTTGTTACACGTACAATTTTCCGTCTCCTCTAGCTGTAATGTAACATGTTCGGTGTTACGTTACGGGGCATTTTACACAAATTGATACCAGCCTTTTTACAGTTCCCATAAATTATGCTGCCTGATACAGGCAAACTTTATACGCCAAATGTCTGCTTCAGTATATTTTTATAATCTCGTATTATAGTCCCTTTATCCTATATAATCATTTAAGGCAAATTACAAAGAACTGTATAGATATTTCATATCGATACGATATTAAGAAGTCCTATCACTTTTATCTCTAATCTAAATATGGGCAATAAAGCAAAATGAGTTTTTTGTACGAAAATTTTAGTGTAACGGTGTCTCATCTTTGGGATGGGAACGGTAAGTTTTTGTCTTGTTCATAAGATCGCGAATTGCAAAGAAATGCATATAACTGCATAGATATCAATTAGTTTTAATTACCATGTCGAATTAAATATTTACAAGTCTAAACAGATAGTTTAGCATACATTTTTTCCAAATTTTTGTGTACCACGAAAAAATGCAAGGATAAAATTATACGTGATTTTTTTAATGTCTACATTGCAGATATACTAAATTACATTGTCATTGAGATATAATATAGACGAATTTGCTAAAATAAATCATGAAAAAATCAATAGAATCATAAAATCACGCCATCAAATTCATTCCTTTTTTTAAATTTCATCATATTGTTACACTATTTTTAGAATAATTCATAATGAAATTGTAAATTAGATGTGAATATTTCTACTGAAACAAACTGGAAATTAAATTAAATTATTAAGTTTGAATAACGTCGATATCCATGGATAGTTAAAATTTTAATATATTAATGACGGATGCTACTCACAAATTATCATAAATATCTTATACAAACGTATACGGAAATGGTTAACTTTCAAGATACAGGGTGTTCGGAGTTGAAAAAACAATTGAGGAAAAACCGTATAAATAATATTCTTATTTCATTTATAGATAACGTGAGTTTTTACTTTATTGTAAAGGTATTAACCTAACTCAATTAAAATAAAAAAACTAAAAGTTCTTAACAAATGAAGACAATATAATCTATATAATAACAAAAATCTAAATATTAAAAAGTTATCTAATTTTACAACAAAATTCCTAATTGCTGATATTGCGGGTGATAACGACTATATGCGCCAAAATAGTATGGAATTACACCAACAATAGCTAATAAACAGCCAGTAACTAATAATTTTCTAAAATGAAAGAAAAAATTTAGATTTAATTGGCCTGTTTTAAAAGCAAGAGTAGCGTATTCCTTAGCAATCGGCGTAATGTGCATCTTGGAAACATTAGTCCAGCTGGTAATTGAGAGTTGACTATTGATATTTTTCATAGTAGTTTCGTAGTATGGTTTAATTTTCGTATTATTATCGTAATACCAAAAGCCCGTAATTAGTAAACTTGTTGAACATTTAGTACCTATAGCTACGGTCCATATTTTTAATAGAGGTCATTGATTCAGACACTGCCAGTATGTTATCGTAGAAGAGTTTTTATTATAATAATGTATGTGATAATTCATGATATGAGAAACATTACCCTAATGACATATTATTTTAGTCATATGTGCCATGCATTAGGCATAGAACCATTAAATCTTGTAATTTTAAGAAAGCGATATATCAAATTGTATTGAAGCTTAATGGTTCGTCAGAATTAGAAGAATTTATTTATTATATATTTTTAAAATTGGATATTATATATTTTTAAAATTGGATATTATATGAACACATATTTTTTTATTTGTTGTTGACTAACATTGAATCAGATCAGTTTAAATATAATTTAGGATTAGTGTCTTCGAATTTTCGAATGGATGGTTCGATTAAATTTTCTTTTCTCTATACTAGATGATGTATACATCGTTATACTGATTCTGTTTCAATTTCATGGCCTACTGTGTTAAAAAAAAACTTGAGGGAAAAACTGGAAAATTCATCTAAGTATTTTTAGAAGAAAAGATGATAGCATATTTGAATTATACATGTGTCTAATTGCTGTTGTTTAATGTGTCTATTTTCCTTATTAGTTTGTCCACATGTCTATTATTTTATTTATTTATTTATTTGATACACCATTCTATAGAAAATATCCAATTACTGAATGGGTGGGAACACAATATGTGATATAAAAAAAAGAAAGATGACAATAACAATTGCTAAAACAATTCGAAGACAAAAAAAAACTATAAATAAATTTAAAAGTGATAAAACTTAATAAACTATTTTACATTAAATAAAATACAGTAGTATAAAACAGTAATATGCTTTAGTAAAATACAATAAACATTATACGTATACACAAGCTAAAATGAAAAATGCCCATAATAAAAATAAAATGAATAACAAAACAAACAAAAGCCAATTAAAATAGGTTCGTTATTGACTTTATGGTACAAGAAAAAATGTCAATATTATGTTGGAGGCTGTCGCATTTTTCACACATGACATAAATTGGTGATGACAATAATAAATTAGTATTAGGCATTGCGAGGTACATCATATTCGAGTAGCGTAGATTGGCGCGAGGCACGTGGAAGTTAAAACGATCCAAAATTTGACGACAATCATACACATAATTAATGATTTTATACAAAAAAACAACATAATGCATATCTCGACGTGTCTCTAAGGACTTACAGTTAAACATGTCCAAAAGAATATTGTGGGAAAATCCAATGTTGGGATATATTCCTTGAGTTCTGAAGTGCATATATTTTAAGAATTTTCTTTGAATGTTATTTTTATAGACTGCATACTGAGGATACCAAACTATTGGAGCATATTCCAAGCGAGATCTTACATAACAATTATATAAATTTACTAATGTAGAAGGATCAGCAAAATCTCTACAATATCTGATCACAAACCCAAGGCTTCTGTAAGATGATGAAGAGACATTGCGTATGTGTTCATGAAAAGATAATTTTTGATCAAAAGTTACTCCCACATCTTTTATATAATTGGGACGAGTAAGAGAGTGTTGTTTTTATTGGTTTGTACTAACACGATCCAAACTCCAAATTCCAAACTCTAACCTAAAACATGACGAACTATAGGTTTTATATATGAAGTTTATTCAGAAAAGAACCGAACCTTATTTTTTTAAATTTTATTGTTAATTTTATACATTATTGGTCCTTGTCGCCTTCAAAGTATTAAGTAGTAATTTATATTGATGGCATCAATAGTCTGCAAGCGGCGTCATTTCAGCAATGATTTTAATTTCGGAAATTAGAAAAAATCGCAAGGAGCCATGTCTGGCGAGTAAGGAGGACAGTTATATAATTTTTGGCACAAAAGTGACTAATTAACAAAGCTGTGTGTGGGCGCATTGTCATGGTGCCACAACTCTTGTACCTTTTTGCGGAATTTTTCACGTAAACGTTGTAAAACGCCTTGATAGTACACATGGTTCACTGTTTCACCTTAAGGCAAGAATTCAAAATGCACAATTCCATTAAAGTCGAAAAGAAAAAAACAGTGAGACTGGCGTGCTTTCTTGGTATGTAGAGATCCTTTGCTAATCCATTGTGATGATGTCGTAGCCGTAAACCCAGTTTATGATCTTTTGACTGAATGTTTCATCGTCATTGGATTGTTCAAGGGGATGGCGGTAAATGCACACACTGTTTTTTTTTCTGCTGTGTGATCATCAAGCGAGGAACAAATTTTAAAATTCTAACTTCTGCAATTTATCTGACAGTCTCCAGAGTCATCAGGTGAAGTTGAAGGCCTTCCTGGTCAAGGATCTTCTTTTACTGATTGACGACCAATTTTAAATCGTGAAAACCATTAATAACATTGTGTATGACCCAGACCACCATCTCCGTAAGCTTGTTTCAAAAGTTGAAACGTTTTACGTTGCATCGTTGTTCCAAAAAATCGCATAAGTATTTCAAAAATCGTCAATAACACTTAAACATGTTGCACTCAAATAACATTATCACGAAAACTAAATGAGATATCAACAATCCAAGAACATGTGGTTACAGAGGAGGTTATGCGCAACGCAATGCTGCCAACCGCATATTACTAAATATGTCCGTAAGCGCGTAATTCAAAAAGTTTGGTTAATTTCTGAACAGAGCTCGTAGACTCAAATTTTCGGATTCTCAATTAGGGATACATACAGTTTTATTAAGCTTTTAGTTTTTCTTTTAAAAACATGTATAATACCATGAAATATGGATGAAGACAGAAATTACAAATAATCAACGAGATCTAACGTTGAATACTCTATGCAAAAAAAGTTGGAAATTGTCTCCTCATTCGTAAATACGGAGGTGGTGATGTTCAAAGTGAAAGACACCGTATAATGGCTGAAGGAATATTAATTCCCCGGCATTTGCTGAGCATGTTTATTTAATCAGGTATATGGGACATTACCCAATTTTTTAGAATTTAAAATTGTAAAATAGTAGTGGAAATACTTAACGAACCTCTCGGTTTAGGACTGAATGGGTTAGCAGGTAGTGGTTATTAATTATTTACGTAGGGTTTTTGGTTATTTTGAGGTGAATTGGGGATGCTGATTGAAAGATAGTCATGCTTCCATTTACGGAATATTAAAAAGGTTGCAATTAGGGCTATTGAAAATTCGTAAACATATTTACTATTTTTATTTAATTGGGTATTCCTGGCACAGAAAAGAAAAATATGTTTAATTAAATAACTTATTTTGTAAATTTTATTTTGCCTGACAAGGCAAGAAAGTTCAACTGGACAAATTTGACATGGGTAAAAAAAAAAGAGCACACTTGATGTTGAATGAAATGCAGGCAGGGTAGATAACTCAGCCCAACAAAGGAAGTTCTGGACAAGAAACATGAGTCCGAATCCGCAGGCCAAGAACCGATTTACCAGGCCATTTTTTAGTAAAACGCTAAAACTTTCCCAAAATAGGGTGAAATAGTAAGGATAAGGTAAAGCTTTATAATAAAAAGCAACAATTTGTAAATACTTTGAGAAAACATTTTAAAATAATATTTTGAGCATTGGAAAGAAATATATGCAAATTAAATCCACACCCACCCCAACGAGGGGCTAATTCCACTCGTAAGATCAAATAACAAATGCTAGTGCAAAAAAATGCAAATCAGCAGTCTTGTCTGAATTTTGTTACTGCGGGTATTTGGGGTTTCTGACTACGAACCTGAAGTCCGAATCCAAAAATTCCTGAATCTTTTATTCAGGAATTTTCGGATTCAATATGGCGGATGTAAAAATCGGAATAGCATACAAAATTTTAAGATTATGGCTGAAAAATTCTACTCGGCGGTTTTCAAAGTCGCCAGTCACGAATATAATAGGAAATTCTTAAATTCA